GTCAGCCCGCCGAGTCAGCCCGGTTTTACATCCGTGGTCTCCTCACATCTCCACCCAGCCGCTATTTTAGGAATAGTATTTTCTCCCCGTGGAGAAAGTGCTGCAGCCAGGTAACAAATAAATGCTTCTAAAGGAGCAGTACAACAGTGCTACTGCCGCAGTAAGATCTCACGTATAATGTGGGCGCACAGAATCCCTTCCTGTGTGGTCACACCCGCTGCATTAATAAATTAGTGTCTGAAGATGAGGAAGTTAACGTAAAACGAACGCGTTTGTTATCTGCTAAAACACAACCACAGGGCAAGGGAGCGCCCCATTACCCCGTTTGGGCACAGCCACTCTTGAGCTCTGTCTCAGCCCCCAGGCGAACAGGACAGCCGTCACCTGTTCACCTGCAAGTGCCGTATTTGGCCTTTTTTCCTTTTAGAGCTACTGGAGGGTCGTACCAACTCTGCTTTGCAGATTAAAACGTGCAGGCAATTCTGTTACTCAGCCCAGTTCTGAACCACTTTCCTCACATCAGGGGAGGCCTAACGCTGCTCCTGAACTCCCACTCCATGCCACAGGGCAGCTCTCCCCCAGCCATCCCAAAGCCAGGCCCGTAGGCGCGTGCCGGTGAGAACGTTACTGCCTACGGTTTTCAAATACGTCCTGTGACTAACAATGGAAGTGAGAACACTTCCCTCAGCTTTCCACAGGATAAAATATTTCTAGCCAATTCAGTCAGGGCTACAGAAATAGCTGGGTTTGTGGTTTTTTTTTTTTTCCAGTTTACCCACTTCAATTTTTCCAGAAGCAGTGTAAAAGCAACGTTATTTAATTAAATCCTTGCATTCCTAGTATTAGCCTGAATCAAGCTCAAGCTCTATCTCAGGCAAATGTTTTCTTCTGTCCCAACCAAGGTGAAGCTCCATTCATTCTGCGTCTTCCTGGGTTTCAGAGTTTTCCTGTTCTTCTCCCTGCACCAGGCAAGATCTCACGAATCTGGCTCCCAGAAGTCATGCAGCTTTCCCTGAAGGGTAAAAACAAACCAGTAAACAAGTCAGAAAACCAGTGACAGAAGAGTAGGCAAGTGCTTAGCTTGTGACCACTGCAAGTCCTTAGAATTTTATTCAGGAACACTTGCCAGTTTCCCCAGACATGAATCAACCCCAAATATCTCGGGAAAAAAAGGACTCTTTCAGAGCTGCACCACGATCAACTTTCATCAAGTAGCAAGCAGCTCCTGCAGCCGTGTGTTATACAATTCCCTTTTCCCCCTAAAACAAGAAATGTCACACACACTCCACACAAACCACGTCTCCCAGCACAGTGCTGGCAGCGACTAAGAGTCTTTACACCATCTTTAACTGAAATCCATAGGAAGCAGGTACGTATCATTATTTAAGTGGTACGCTACATTACTGGAACGCTGAGCTTTCCCAAGACAGGTAGCTTTATACTCCAAGACAGGACTCAAACAGCTGATCTGATCATACTGCAAAAGAAACCTTACAGCCCTAGACTGGGGGAAACAGCTCTGAACTCTGGGTATCCGCAGAAATCAGCCATCAAGGCCAGGTAGGTATCACGAAGGCAAATATTGGCAAGAGACCAATCACGGCGCTGTTTACTGCTGAGTATTTTTACAGAGCATGAAAGGCCTTTCCTAATCATTGCCTGCAATTCCACACGTTTGAAGGGGGAGGAGTTATCAAGAGCCATTAAACCTATGTGGTTAGAGCCTTGGACTCGCGTAGTCTCGAAGGCACACGCCGCCAGGAAGCGCATCACCACATTCCCACCCCAGCGTCCTCTCCGAAACATCTGCTAATAGCTATAATCAGAGACAGACCCTGGGACTCGACTCAGCATCTCTGTGTATTACACAAGCCATGTACAAAAGCAGCACTTTTAAGGATAAAGATGAAATCTTGGTTTTACTGAAGCCAGCAAAGAATTTTAATTAAAATCTATTCTAATATGTGCAAGTGTATTCCCCAGCCATGCGATTTATGAAGGAAAACCTCTTTAAAAAAAGAACATGCTACTTTCAAAAGCTAAATGAGTTACAAGCACCCTGCAATATAAGAGTGAAAAAGGTTTCACCACAGTACCTGAATAAGCCGAGTGGTTTGTATCATATCTTGCCATTTGCCATATATCCGAGCAACTAAGTCTTTTACCTGCAAAGACAGATTGGTTAGTTTAGCCATTTATGTTACAGAAGACTAAATCATACCCCCCATCACCCCCACCCCACAGACGCCCAGATAAGCCAACACCTCAAGGTTTACTGGGAGAGAAGAATTATACAGCTGGCACAAAGGATCACTCAACTCAACCAGATCCCTGTAATTTGGGACTCTGAATTCGAAGTCACGTATTCCACAGGAACGCACTACAGGCACGTGACTCCCCACGTTGAGTGCTGAGAATCAGCACGCAAGCCTCTGGCCTCCACGCACGCGCCTCATCCTTCGGGGCAGTTCGGTTTGTTACCCAGGGCTGGCTCTGCCTAGAAAAGGTGCCAGCGACTGTCTGCTTCTGAAATGAATTCCTTATTTCTAAAACCATGCCCTTTCATCACCAGTGACAAGCAGGTGTTTAACCCATTCCATTCAGGACTGAGATTTGCTCCGTATGCTATGTTAAAACCCAGCACAAGAAGGTTCTGTGCTACTACACAAATGACGTGATGGGGAAAAACAGAAGAAGATTTTCACCTCTCAGTGCAAGGGCAATAGAAACAAAGGTGAATGCGACCCCAGATGGAAAAATGCAAGGCAAGAGTAATTAACTTGTTAAAAGGACCCACGTGCTACTGATCTGGCTGAATAAAAAAAGGAAAGTCTTTGAGAGGTAAGGATGCACACAACTGCAGATGTGTGATTTAAAGCTGGAGAGGCCAAGGCCTTCCAAAGTCGAGGTCGGTCACTTTATCGCTGATGTGATCTGGCTTGCTACGACAGCAGGCAAAGCACGGAAGTCACAAAGTTAGGGCTATCGTTAGTGAGCCCCACACCACGCAGCAAACGAAAGGCAATTATCCAAGCTCGATGCGACGTCACAGACACTCCTGGCTTAAGCCCACATTTTTAACTAACTCATTACTTTGAAAATAAAAGAGACATATCCAAGGTAAGGTAGTTTTTCAGCCCTCTGTGTCCTGCCCTGCATGTAGCCTCTGCTCACAGAGTCAGCTATCAGTGACTGCTAGGAAAGGAAAAGGAGCAGCTCTGTGGGTCTAAAAGTTGAGGTGCCTGGCTAAAATGGGAAGACAAGCTCTAATTTTACAGATGTTAAAGTTCTGTTAGCAGAAAGAGTTCTTGACAAGCTCTAATTTTACAGATGTTAGAGTTCTGTTAGCAGAAAGAGTTCAGTGCATTAAAATAGGCATACAATTATGCACATGCAAAGACATGATGCAGACATAGAAACTAGAAAAAACCAAATCTATGAGGAACTCTTAAGACTTTCCAGGGCTAGGACGAAGGAACAACACACCAAACACACTAAAAACCACCCCAAACCAAACAAAAACCCCTCAACTTGCAGGTCTTACCTTAGTTCGATAAAACAGCCTTGCATCTTCCCTAATATCACATTTTATGTGCTTATCTAAGGCACCACAAAGCTTCAGTAAGTGTTGCTAAATAAAGACAAAAGTGTACAGCTAGTTAAATCCTTCATGTCACAACAAAAAGCTTTCTTCAAATATTACTTCAATTTAAAATATATATGCATCAGTTTGAATTTTTCTCAGACATACACAGTAAAGAAACGGGAAAAAGGAAGCAAGATCACAAGATCCTCTTATCAGTTGGTGGTACACATCTCGTACACCGGGTCTAAGCGCTTTAAAACACAGTTTCAAAGCACAGCAGAGCTATACAACACGGATTTTAAAGTTCCTACCAGGTAATTTGCAAATCCTTGCTGTCCCCCAAGTAGCAAGCACAGGGCCATTCAGGTCTTTTATCACCTAAAAGGAGTTCTGCAGTTATAACAGCTAAAAATAACTTTCTCAGAAATGACGACTCAGGTCATTTTCTTTTACAGGAATTGGCTGAGCAGGTAAAACATATCCAAGGTTTACGCACTGATCTTTCATTTCTCTCTAAATTTCTGATGACTTTAACAAAGCAGTTTTGCAACTTTGTAATCTCTTGATAATGGCTCCCAAGAGCTTTCCCATTCTGTAAATTTCTTCATAAAACTCCTGTTTTCAGTCCCTCACTGAACAGCCCCAAAGAGGCTCCACTCTGCAAAATGGGTGAGATGTGCTGCCATTCTACTTATAAACGTTTGCTGGTGTCTTGAGACCATGACAATTTACCCCATCTAATTGGAACAGGACCAGAAATTAAATTATTATATTGATTTTATACAAAGTCGAGTCTGCACAATATTCAGCTGCATCCCTCTCGCCACTTGATGGCTAACAGGTCAGTGAATAACAGACCATTTCTTCATTAAGAAATACAAAGACATTAAAAAAGTATATATATATGTAAAAATCAAGTTCTCCACAAGTCTTCAGGAAGGCAGTTATAAAACACAAATCTCAAGAGATAGCCACAATATCATTATGTTCTTTACCAAATACAATTTTATTTCAGTTCACACTCTTTTGATTATCTTTTTGCCTGGAGTAGGAAACTGAGACCCTTAAGCCCCGAAATGCAGCGAAACATTACTGCTTTACCCCTCTCTCAGAGTTCATACGACAGATTTCTTACAAGCCAAGAGTGATCCAGTGGGGCAGAAGGTGTACACAATCACCTCGCAGCAAACGATCAGAGAAGTCGGAACGGGCTTACTGCAAGGCTAGGCAGAAGGTATTGCTAAACAGATGTTCACATCACATGCCACAAAGGAACTATCGCTACGGAGAGCAGAGGAGAGACAGTCCTAGCTTTCACTTGCTGCATGGCTGCACTCCAGCACAAAACAACGTGATGTGTTTGCACATATTTTACTGGGTATTTTCAAAGCGGTTTTATTCTAGACTGAAAGATTTCAAACCTACTTCAAAAGTTCATGGGATCATTGGATTTCTTAGAATGTCTGCGTGGAGTTCATCTCCAGTCACTTTCTGAGAAAGATCAACAAAGGAAATGCTGACGCACAGCATGTTTTGAGACAGTTCCATCTGCAGAGACGCGGATGTTTGTTTCTCTGCAGTAAGTGCAGGGAAAGCTCTTCTGCATTTACTTTGCCCCAGAACGAAAGCTCCCCCTCGTGCTATTAAGCCACTGGTGATCTCCTATCCCATGACAGCTCTTACCAAAATAGACCGAGTGTGCATGATAAACAGTCTTTTAAAATCTGAAGATCTACCCACTGAAGTTACTTACCCTTTGATTAGAATTTATAACATCAAAGAAACTAGCTTCGCTGACTAGATGAAGGAGGATGTAGATTAGGTAGTATGCCTGGAGAGAAATCAAAAGAGTTGTGGCAGTCAAAGCACAATCATAACTCCTCACATCCAGATACAGCACTGTCTTTGCTTTCTGGAACGATTCCTCCAACAGCCAGAGCAGTGGACAAGTACGTCTACACACCTGCCTAAGTAACTACTTTGAAACAGTACATTCATGTATTAGAAACATTTTAAACCAGTATTACACTGGTCTGAGTTACATAAGTAGCCTACAAACTCTCTGTAGTTTTAATTACTGAAAATTAAATTCAGCAGTTGATTTATCTTCCCCATCACCTACATCCAGATCACAACACTTGCTAAGAGACTCCATGACAGACTCAAATAACCAAACCAATATTCTATTCTTGGATGGATGGAAATACTAAATCTTTCTAATACTCATTTATGAGAGAAGATTCATAAAAGATTCATCTCTTTCTGAAGGTCAAGGTCTGGCAGATCAGAAGGGAGGGAGGATGGTCCTCTGATTACAGAAGACAGGACTCAAGACATCCATGTGACTTAGCCATTCAGAAAATCCGGCAGTTTCCCTGATTGCAAAACAGCCTAATGCAGCTTCCTCTATCACAGGCTACTTCTTCCCTTCCTCCGTGACTCCAATCAGAACTGAACACAAATAACATTTTAATTATACAGATGAGCAGCACCAAAATAGCGTGTTAACAGAAATTAAACAAAAACTGCAGAACTGAAGAAAAGCATAAGACAACACGTGCAGAAAAGCACTCTCAGCTGTGTACCTCCTGTTCTAGTTTGGCCTGAAGGTGGTCTTCGTCAGCATCCTGCTGCTCCAGTCCTTCCCTCATCTCCTTTAGTAGATTAGAAGGTTTCATGTACACCAGAAAGTTATGCAGAAGAGACATCTGCAGACACAAACATTAACAAATCGGGCTGTTCCACCGCCAACGGAACATCGGAAACTGAGTGCCACTACAATATTATTTGTCCACTAAGACAAGAACATAAAAGGGGGTTTTCATTAAAAATGGAAATTTTCATGCTTTAGGTAATTAATTCACAAGCTAAAGTGTTTGCACGCTGCCTCAATAAAAGATCAACCCAACGGAAACAAAGAGAAACTCTACATGAACACAAGAGGAAACCTGACAGAAGCGTAGACCTTCCCCATGTCCAAAATCAATGTTTAGGCACAGAAAAAACATTGCACTTCCAAGTTGCAGAAGATGCAGGTTACACACACGTGCAAATATACTTCTAATACTACACTAAAAACTGGTCATTTTGCAAGGTTCTCAAACAGGCTTACAGTATTAAAAACATAAACCACAACCAATAATATATGTTTTCTAAAATTCCAAATGATACACCCCCCCCTCCCCCCACAGATGCAGTACCTGCTTGTCACTGTCATCAGGTATTTCTATAGGCCTTCTATGAAGAAGTTTTGAAATTATCACCAGGCTAAGACGTCTTCTTACTTGCCTGAAAAACAATTTTTTTAAAAAATTTATTTCCCAGAGAATGTCTTAAATTCACACTGTTTCTACAAAGTGTATGAGGCTAAGCATGGCTTCCCTAGACATAAACTTGCCTACAACCATTGAACTGGATTTTCTGACTACAGGTGCCATTAAACCCATGAAGAGGCCAGTAGGACATAAGGTCCTTAGGTCACTGCAGCTTTGAATCCGCACAAGTACACACTGCTAGATGCTTGCCCCCAGGCCCAAAACTGAGGGCCCTTGCTCAGATACATTATAATGTATTCATTTCAAAGATCCAGAACTCGTTAGACTGACACTTAAGAGCAGACATTAATCGCCCAAAGAAAATTTAATTTTTGGCCATTCAGACAAGAATTAGAGCAGGTGATGATGTCAGAATCTGAAGTCGTAAATACTTAGCTATAGGGTACCAGGAAGTCCACAGCCCAGACAGCTACACATAAAATGTAAAATGACCCTTTTTCACAGCAGAGGTCATCAAGAAGCTATATACACACACAATAAGAATTGCATAGGCATCTGTAACATATGAGAAAACCCAAATACTATTCTTTTAAAGCACCATATAATACCTATTACATTTATCAGACTTTGAGCTTATACAAATAAATCAGCTGTTAGTGACACAGATAAATTAGCTGTTAATGATGCTACATATTTCTGATGTTCAAGTTTCATTACCGTCCACGTATTATCCAGCTAGGCACCAGCTGGACTAGCCACAGGAGGTTATGGTGGTGACTGGAGAGTTCGCTCACTGCCAGGCAGAGCTCAGGCATCTTTAAAAGAACAGCAACAACAAAATCCTGATATTGAAGGACAGATATGGTGAGCATTTGTTCTATTTGCCAAGAGCTACACATCTACTCCCTAGACACATACACAGCATAAAGGTTAAAATGAATTGCTCTAATGAGAGAAGATGTGCATAAAGGGATTCCTGCGTCTGCTAAACGCTGTTTTACGGTGGGGTGGCTGAGATCAGATTGCTTTTAACGACATCTCACCAGCTTGGCGCAATCATTTCTTCGCTCTTTCAGGGAGCCGTTTTTAACATACCGCTATTTCAGTAAAGGTAAGTTCAACCCAACAGTCCCCTTGCAGAAGCGGCCAGGCAAGCGTGATGTCACGTGACAAAAACCCTCTCTGCATACCCACCCACCTCCTAAATCCCACACACATCCAAAGCTCCCCATTTGTTCCTATTACATTTTCAAGCAGTATTTTTCTGATGTCAAGAAAAAATGAAAACTTCAAAACTCAAAAAATTAAGTTGCAGTTTCATAAACCTAGTACAAGAAAATTATTTATGACATTACCTTTGTATCCCACTCCTTTATACCCATCAGAAGCTTTATGAAAAGGCACTGAAAATCTATCACAGGAATTTGCTTTAACTGTTTCTCCAAGCTTATTTTAAACAGCAACAGAAGCAGCAGCAATATTTCTTGATCGGTATATCCACTCTGAACTACCGTTGTGCAGAAACCTAGAAACTTTAAAAGAAATAAAAAGCATTAAAATCTGAAATTGGTTCAGCTTATTTTGATGTACAAGAACTTCAGTTTCCCACCCTCACACTAAAATGCACCTCAAGTGATGTATTGTTCTTGCAACACTCGTGTGCTAGTATCTCCCCATTATCTTTTTTAATAAACGCTCATCTTTTGAACGCCAACAAGATTCCCCGGACATTACAGGAGCAGGAAGATCTCTCTCCACTGCAGCTAAAGACTGAGAGACTTTCTAAGTACACAGGTAATACCAAAAACATAAATCAAGGGACTTTCACACCCAAGTATTATCACATGGGTTACTCACAACTTGGGATGTGTGTGTAAGTGAGAACAAATTAACCAAGAGGTGTGTATTCTGTTTCTAGTGGAGATGATTCCTCTTGAACTAAGTGATTTTACACTCAAAATCCCTAAAGAAATGATGCTAGGAGGATTCAAACACTTCCACAAGGAGCTCTGCAATCAGTCAGAAGGTCAGTATTTTCCCCACAGAACTGTTAACCACAGAGCACTGGCCTGTGAAGTGTGACCAGCACTCCGTCAGCCTGTGATCTCACGGAGATCTAACAGCTCACTGCCACAGCTCCACCTGCCCTCAGTGAGCTCCCACCTCATCCACCTTGTGCTGCACAGGGACAGTCCTGGGTGCTGCACCAACACACAGCGGCAGCACGAAACACACTACCCAACATCGACTCCCCTTCCCGTTTCCATGGGAACAAGAAATGGACAATTTCTTCTACACGAGGGAGCAAAGAGGTTTGCTGAAGTGCCAGAGCTGTAAGAGGGAGGCAGCAGAACTGTGCAGTTATGAGGGAAGCCAATGGAATCAGGACTAAAATTTGCAACAAGCCTGCAACAATCTCTGCTGAATGTGAAGCTGAAACCCCAGGATAGCATCTGCTTATGCCCGGGACTAGATTAAGACATGAGGGTTTTTGCTAAAAGGGAACAAAGAAAAACACCCCTCAAAAAAAAAAGAAATCCCCACAAAAAACCCTCCCACACTAACTGCTGTTTTCTCACCTTAACCACGTTAATCAAATTGTCTTCTGGTAGGCTGGAGAAGGCCGGACTGGCAGAGGTTAGGTCTCCTCTTGGCTGTTGCTTACTCACTGTTTCTTGCATCTGACTTCTAATAAGAGAGACACTAATCTGAGCAATAATCCAAAAGCCAACAAAAGCTTGTTTGATCAAACTGAAGAAAAAAACCCAAACCCCTGCATGTTTAAAAATGCCTTCACATCAAACCAATCCTCAGTGACGGCGCATACACATCTACCTCAACTTGTAACCGATGAGTTACAATTCTGCCCAGCTATTTCGGCAACCACTCGTGTAAATGGGCATTAGGAAGGTGCATGACAA